CGGCTTTTTTCTTTATGCTTATGTGGTGCTGAGGAATTGAACCCAGGGCCTCAGGCATGCAAGGCAAGCGCTCTACCACTGAGCCACCTTCCCAGCCCTGGCAGGAGCCATTTTCTAAAATTCATCACATGGTTGTAGATTCAGCCTCCCAGGGGTTGCTACATTTGTTTAGAGTTTTGCTTAAAAAAAAAATTGGGGGGAGCAGGGGGTGAGCAGCCTGGCATTAGTGGCTTACTCTAATCCTAGCTACTCAGGAGGCTGAGATCTAAGGATTGTAGTTTGAAGCCAGCCCAGGCAGAAATGTCCCCATGAGACTCTCATCTCCAATGAACCACTCAAAAACCAGAAATGGAGCTATGGCTCAAAGTGGTAGAGTGCTAGCTTTAAGCAAAAAAGCTCAGGGACAGTACCCAGGCCCTCAGTTCAAGCCCCACAAACCACCACCACCACCATCAACAACAAAGCTGGCCTGGAGGCAAGACTTAAGTGGTAGAGCATCAGCTGTGAGCAAACAAATTAAGCAAGTGTGAAGCCTTAAGTTTAAGCCCCAGTACCAGCAAAAAATAGATAAGTAGATAGATACCATTCAACCGTAGGCTTTAAACAGGTGAATTGCATGGTCTGTAAATTATACCTCAAGAAAATGAAGCTAGTTCTCTCAAAACAAAATAAAACTTGGGACAAATCCCCAAATTGAAGGTACCCTTGCCATGGTTGCTAATGACCCCTTGACAAGCCTCCTGGAGATGCCCATGGGCACCTGTGCCCAGCCCCCCACCCCGCACCCCCTCTCCCAACCCACAGGCTGGGACCCTCACCCAGTGCAGTCTGGGGGGCTCACTGTTGGAAGTGGCAAAGAAGGTCACTGTGGCCAAGCCTGTGCCCACAATCACCACCACGGCCCAGACGGGGACGAGCCCGCCGATCTCATACACAGCGTCTGTGGGACAAGAAGGAGATGATGTCTCTACTTACAGCTCCCAGAGCCCCAGGCAAGATGGGCGGGCCTGGTGCAAATACTCAGAGGGAAGCCCATCGAGCCTGGATTGCTTGGCGATGAGGTCAGCTCCCTGTATGCCTAGCCCTGCCTGGCACTTCAGGGAGGAGGGCAGAGAAATTAGAAAGAAAAGATCAGCACAGAAACAGGAAATGGCTAACGCTACCTTTACACACACACACTCCCCTTCATGGCAGACATCACCAATCAACCATGATGCCTCTGTCCGATGAGCTTCAGGAAGCTCCCTCCAGCCAGGCATCACCAATGGATGAACTCTCAGTGGGATGAAGGTGCTGATCAAACCAACCTTGCCCACTGACAACCAGGCCAGCTCCTGGGCTCTTGCCATGCCACTCCACGAACCAACCCCTGGACAAGCTACAAAGGTTCTACAGGGCTCAAAACACTGAAAGCCTGCTGCTGGGAAGAACATTCTAGAATTCTGAGCCTACCACGCTTTTCAGCACCAAAGACAATAAAAGTCTCCAAGGCCTAGATCCATGCTTTGAGCCCTTCTTCTTGTCCTTCCTGGGGTCTGGCTCTCAGGCTGTCACCTCTGTGAGCACAGAGGGGCTGGATTCACACCCTGTACGCAGCACCCAACAGGTGGCTGGCTTCCAGGGGGCAATTCTGAGATCAATGGACAACCCTGAGTTTGTTTTAGAAACGAAGCCAATGTCCTGCTAATGGAGGTAAAGTAGCTTCCTTTTTTTTTTTCATTTCAATAAATACTATTTTATGCGATCAGAGGCACAGAGGCATTGTGCCTTTTCTGTTCCTCCCCCTTTAAAATAATTTCTTTTAAAGAGCTAAGAAAAATATCATCCAGGCCTGGTGACACACGCCGGTCACCCAGCACTCAGGAGACTGATTCAGGAAGACCACAAGTCCCAGGCAAGCCTGGGCTACATAACAAGACACTGGATCAGAAAAAAAAAAAAAAATGTTGGGCTCCAGTGGCTCACACCTGTAATCCCAGCTACTCAGGATGCTGAGATCTGAGGACAGTGGTTCAAAGCTAACACAAAAGTACCTATGAGACTTATCTCCAATTAACCACTCAAAAGTGGGAAGTGGAGCTGTGGCTCAAAGTAGTAGAGTGCTAGCCTTTAGTAGGAAAGCTCAGGGACAGTGCCCAGGCCCTGAGTTCAAGCCCCACGACTGACAAAGAGAAAACGAAAAACCGGGGACAGGCTCAGGCAGTTTGGCCCTGATTTCATTTCTTCCAGGCACTAACTCCTATCCTGGCTTGCTGTCCCTGCCCAGATGACAGAGAGGAGCAGCAGGAGAGCCTCCAGGGAGGCAGCAGGGAAAACCCTGAATGGCAGGAGTGAGAGGCCTGAGCACAGAGGGCGTCTCCTCCGTCACCACGAGGCGGAAGGGAGAAGCCCGCCCGGCTGGGTACAGAAAAACAGTCCAGTGCAGTGGGGACAGGAAATCACCTGGTCAGGTGACACGAGCCCAGCTGGTGCCCACAGGGCAGGGAAGGCCAGAGAGGATGTGGGCTGTGTGTGTGTCCATAGGCCCCCAGGAATCAAAGGGCCCCCTGAGAATCAGAGTGGTCCCCGGGAATCAGGCCAACACCTTCCAGAATGTATCCTGGATCTTGAGATGCCATATCTAGATTTTTTTTGTGTGTGGGTCGTGGGGCTTGAACTCGGCCTGGGCGCTGTCCCTCAGCTCTTCAGCTCAAGGTGAGCGCTCTACCATTTGAGCCACAGCGCCACTTCCTGTTTTCTGGTGGTTCATTGGTGATAAAAAGTCTCACAGACTTCCCTGCTCTGGCTGGCTGTGAACCTTCATCCTCAGATCTCGGCCTCCTGGGTAGCTAGGATGACAGGCGTGAGCTACCATGCCCGGCCCAAATCTAGAATTTGATATGGAATCTCAACATTTTTCTTTCCTTTCTTGCTTGCTTTTTTTTTTTTTTTCTTTTTGCTTCCTGCACACAAGAAATGCCTGCTCTCTACCCAGGCTTCTGCTCTGTGAAGAGGAGGGCTGGGGTGGCGGGACTCACAGGCTCCGGACTGCAGGGTCAGGACCAGGACCAGGGGGCTGATGACCAGCTGCAGACAGTTGAGGGGCCGTTTCCAGTTCCGGTCATCTCTGTCCGGGTCCACTACGGGCACGGTGAGGAGCAGGAGGACCTCCACGGGCAGCTGTGTCGGTGGGGGAGGAGGGTTCAGGGAGGAGGCGGAAGGAGGTGCCGGGAGGGGTTGTGCACGCCTATTCTCTTACTGCCCGGGATCAAAGTGAAGATGGTGATGTCGCCGGCGTCCTCTGGACGCCCCTGTGCCCGCAGGCTGAGTTGCGGGCCGGGGGCCACTGTGCAGTCACAAAGCCAGAGCCTGGCTCCCCACCCCGTACCTTGAGCACCTTGAGCAGTCTCCAGGACACTGACTGGTTTCTCCACTTCTGAGAGTCCAGCGGGCTCAGGGCCTCCGCCAGGACCTGGGCCGTGCTATTCTGGTACGTGAACAGCGGCCGGTACTCTTCACCTGTGCCGGGCGGAGCAGGTGGCTGTGACTGGCCCCCTCTCCGAGGGACCCTGCCCCCCCACCTCCAGCCACGGCTCAGCCCAGGTGGGGCGGGTTTGGAGCACCATCTTGGGGACCGGGGGTGTTCCCGTCGTCCCCCCCCACTTCTCCACCCCCAGCTGAACTCACCGTAGTCGTAACTGTTGGTGTTGGATGACACCCGATCATCCTCTGAATCTGACAGTTCTGCAGGAAGCGGGCAGCAATGACCCCCAGCCCCAGAGCCCACGACCTCCTGGGACCAGGGGACTCCCCCTCCCCTGCTGGGGATGGAGCCCAGGGCTTCACACAGGCTGGGCGCCTGCTCTGCCCTGAGCTGCTCTAGATTGCTCAGCAACCTCTGCGCATGCTCAAGATCCTCCCCGATCAGTGAGGCTGCTGAATGGCTTCCTCCCTCCTTTCCTTCCTATCTGCCCGCCTCCCTCCCTTCCTCCTTCTTTCCCTCCGTCTCTTCTTCCCTCCTTCCTGTTGGTAGTGAGGCTTGAACTCAGAGCTTCATGCTCTCACTTGGCATTTTTGCTGAAGACTGGTGCTCTACCACTTGAGCCACACCTCCACTTCTGGCCCTTTACTGGTTCCTTGGAGATGAGAGCCTCATGGATTTTCCTACCCCAGGCTGGCTTCAAACCTTGATCCTGCTCAGATTCTCAGCCTTGTGAGTGGCAAGGATTACAGGTGGGTGCTACTAGTGTCTAGTCATAGACAGTTCTTAGCAAGCTGGCCCTGACGGAGGCTTAGGGAGGGAGACCTACTGGACGAGGACAGAGATGGGGGTCAGGACCAGAGGCTGGGCCATGGTGCGGGGAGAACACTAGAAAATGCAGGAAGAGAAGAACTCGGCAGGGAGCACAATGGCCTAGGGGACAGGAGACAGCGGTGCCCGGCAGGGAGACACCCCGTCCCCATGTCCTCTCTTACCGGGAGTTCCTGGCATGGAGTAGACCAGGGACCTTCTCCGCTGCCGTTGATAAATCCAGGTGCAGAGGATCACAGTGAGCACATAGAACACGTAGAGGCCCAGGTAGCCTGCGGAGAGGGGCCGGCTATCACTGACCCTGCTGCCGGTGGGCTTTTATGGGGTCTGCCCAGTGTCATCTGAGCAGGCAAGCGACCCTCTCTTGTATGCTCTCTCCTCCTTCCTGCCTTTCTTGGCCGTCTCCCCTTTCTGCTACCTCAGGACGTAGACATCGCAGAGGAGAGGCCGGTACCTAGCAATCTCCACACTTCCATTCAAGGGCTGAGAGGAGCTCACCCCCTGAGAGTCAGAGCACAGGAGAGAATAGGGAGGGTTTGGCTCTGGTGGCTTTCTTCCCTGTGGTGCCCTGTCCCTGGCAGGCCTGGAACCTCTGTGCTGGCAGCCAGTTAGCGGACTATGTTTGCAGGCAGACTCCTGCAGGCAGAGGCGGCACTGTTAAAATCAAGCCCAGTGGCTCACGCCTGTAATCCTAGCTATTCACGAGGCTGAGATCTGAGGATCACGGTTCAAAACCAGCCCAGGCGGGGCGCCGGTGGCTCATGCCTATAAACCTAGCTACTCAGGAGGCTGAGATCTGAGGGTCGCAGTTCAAAGTCAGCCTGGGCAACAAAGTCTGTGAAACTCTTATCTCCAATAAACCACCAGAAAACCAGAAGTGACACTGTAGCTCAAGTGGTAGAGCGCTAGCCTTGAGCTGAAGAGTGCAGGGATAGCGCTCAGGCCCAGAGTTCAAGCCCCACGACAGATAAAAAACAAACAAACAAAAAAACAGCCCAGACAGGAAGTTCTATGAGACTCTTATTGCCAATGAACCATCAAAAAAGTTGGAAGTAGAGCTATGACTCAAATGGTAGAGCACTAGCCTCGAACAAAAAAACTCAAGGACAGTGCCCAGGCTCTGAGTTCAAGCCCCAGGACTGGCATACACACATAGAAAGAAAGGAAGAAAGGAAGAAAGGAAGGAAGGAAGGGAGGAAGGAAGGAAGGAATGACGGACGGAAGGGAGGCAAGGAGGGAGGGAGAAAGGAAGGAAGGAAGGAAGAAATCAATCAATCAGGCTGGACACCGGTGGCTCATATCTATAATCCTAGCTACTCAGGAGGCTGAGATCTGAGGATTGAGGTTCAAAGCCAGCCCAGGAAGAAAAGTCCTTGAGATGTTCATCTCCAATTAACCACCAGAAAACTGGAAGTGGCTCTGTGGCTCAAAGTGGTAGAGTGCACTAGCCTTGAGCAAAAGAGCTCAAGGACAGTGTCCAGGAAGGCCCTGAGTTCAAGCCCCAGGACCGACAAAAACAAAAAAGAAAGAAAAAGAAATGATAAGGCAAGGGGTGTGGCTCAGCTATAGAGCACCTGCCTAGCAAGTGCAGGCCCTGAATTCAAGTCCTAGTACCAGTAAGAGAAAATGATGGATCTGGGAAACGGTCCCCATCTCTGCCTTCCCCTTGGTTACCTGAGCCTGGCTTGCCCCGCCCCTCCCGGAGCGGGGTGGGGTCTCTGTCACTCACAGCCAATCAGAGCGCCTCTCCCTCCCCCAGAAACCTTGGGGGGGGAGGGGCCCAACCCCGCTGCTCACCCAGGGCCCACAGCAGCGTGACCCTGCCGTGGTACAGCGCAGTGAAGGTCAGGAACACAGCCGCCATGTAGAAGGTGATGTCCCTGAGGAACGGCCTGGACGCGGCCGTGAAGGGGCGCAGGATGGTGATGCCCCCGGCCACCACGGTGGTGACCAGCACCCCTGCACCTGCAGGGCGACACGGCACCGTGGGCTGGGGCTCAGCCGCCCCTCTGGATGCCTCCTCCCCCCTCTCCCCTCCCCCCTCCGGCCGTGGCCACACTCACCAAAGAGAGCGCCGATGGCCAGGCTGGCAGTGCGCGGGTCTGCGAAGGCCACCAGGGCACTGAAGACATCGGGGGCTCCATTCCCGAACGCCAGGAAAGTGACACCATGGGGGGCTGCGTCAAGGAGGCTCTGTGCCAGGCCCTCCCCTCCCATGCCCCCCCATGCCCTTTGCCCCCCCCTTCCTCCACAAGGGCGTTGGAACCCTGGACCACACGGGGAAGAAGGATACTGCCACGTTGTGGGACAGCTTGAGGGTGGTGGAAATGGCCGACAGGTTAGGACAGAAACTAGGGAGGGAAGCCCAGGGTCAGCTGACCATGAAGGACAGCTCCGTTCCCCCCCACACCCCCCCATGCTGGAACCCAGAGCCCCCCCCCCCCAGATGCTGGCCTCTTGGAATTTCCCTTTCCCATTACTAAGCCAGATTCCAACGCGCGCAGAGCCGAAACTCACAACTTCGCCGCCGTCACTCCCAGGATGAGGAACAGGTAGAGAAGCCAGAGCACCTGGGAGGGCCCGCAGGGGTGAGTTATTTCCCACGGTGGGTGGATGGGGGGGTCCCCTGGCCTCCTCAGCCCCAGGGCCCAAAGCTGGGACTCACGTGGAGGGTGACAGCCAGAGGGAGGAGGCCTGGAGGGAAGTGGCAGAAGAGGCCTTCCAAGTAGTCCAGGTAGCCGCCCTCCGTGCGGCAGTCGGGGTTGGTCCGGATGAACCTGCAGCGCTCAGACACGTTCAGCGTGCACACAGCGCGACACTGCGGGGAGGAGTCATTTCTTGACTTGCTTTGAAAGCGCATCCTGGCGCCGTTCGCGCACACAGTAGGTGCTTGCCTGCACGTAGTAGGTGCTCAGAAACATTCCAGGACTCTGGCTCTGCTACCTCCCCTCATGGCCAGCTTCACCTCCCGACCCTCCGAGTCCCCATGTCCTCGTGACACCATGTAGGACTGGGAAGAATGTGGGGAGCCCGGCACCACGCCACCTCAATGCTCAGGAACCCGGGCAGACCCAGCACAAAGCCAGGGACCACCCCAGTTTCCCTGCCCCAAGAGGCAGCACCACATAACCACAGACCACTTCCCCTTCTGTGAAATGGCTCCAAGGGCAGCAAGCGGCCACTTGTTACCCAGCGCTTGGATTCATGATCTCTGCCAGAGGAGGTTCGGCCGGGAAGCCCTGGGCTCACGCTGGGGGCTGTGGTGTGGGGGGAGGGGAGGATGCCAAGAAATCCCGGGGACCCCGGATCTGCTGTGTCCTCTGCCCCCTTCGGAGCCTGAGGGCACGCTCCTACCTCCAATCTCCCCATGCTCCTCCCATGGGGCCGGAGCACCCCACCCCTGGAGTCTGGGCGAGCTCTCTGTCACAAAGACAGGCACTTTCGTCCATGCTAAACACACAGGGACAGGAAACAGTTGTCCATTGCACAGATTCACCCTGGATACTCACGTCTGCCATGGGGGTCTGGTTCACACCTGAGCCTGGAAACTGGGAACCAATATGGACGCTTGTTGACAGGTCTCCTGTCCCAGATGCTGCCTTCATCCCCAGAGGGTCCAGCCATCTGCTAGCCATCGGCCCCGGGGCCTGACCCTCACCCCGGGCTTTCCTTTCTCCGGGCCAGGCGGCTCTAGCTCTAGGGTAAGGCCGGACAAGGGGACAGTGTCACTGTGAGTCCCAGGACTCAGAAAGGTCATTTCCAAGATGGAAAGTCCCTCCTCCCCCACCAAAGGACCGGATGTGGAAGCCCACATCACCAGGGCATCCCTTCCCTTAGAGGGCCAGGGCCGGCTTATGGGGTGGGCAGATCGTGCGACCCCCGTCCTCAACCCCCTCCACACGTCTCTAGCTGGGTGCCGATCGCTCACGCCTGCAATCCCAGCGACTTAGGAGGCTGACGTGGGAGGATCTGTGTGGAGCCAGCTCGGGCAGGACAGTTGTGAGATTCTTATCGCCAACTTACCAGCAAAATGCCAGAAATGGAGCTGCAGCTCAAGTGGTAGAGTGTCAGCCCTGAGCAAAAGAGTGCATCACAGAAGCAAAAACACCAGGCATGTAGCATCTCTAGGGCCAGCAGAGAGAGCGGCTGGGCCACTGCCTAGTCATGTAGCCTGGGGCTAGGGTGGGGTCACGGAAAGTGCTCAGCAGTACACTGAATAGTACACCTGGCCCCACAGGCCTCCAGCCTGAACCTGGGAGAGGTTGCTAAACCACACTGTGTGGTCTCTGTGCATGCTCAACAAGTCCACCAGGAATCTCATTTAATCCCAGCACTCCTACTTTACAACTGGGGAAACTGAGGCACGGAGAGGCCAGGGCCTCAGCTGCCTCATCTGACTTCCCTCAGAGCAAAGCTGCTCCTGCAGCTTTTATGGAGGAGGGGTCAGCACTAAGGGTAGTTTGGCAACCTACCCCATGGTCACACAGCCAGAAGGCCACATAGCCAACAACTGCTCCTCTGGTGAGGAAAGTTGGTGAATAATAAGTTGGTGAATAAGGAAGTTGGTGAATTGCTCAAGGCCACCGAGCCTGGGACCAGAACTGGGATCCAACGTCTGCCACTTCCCTCAGCACAAAAGGGGGTTCCATTTCTTCTTTAAAGAAAGTCAACTGCCGGGCGCTGGTGGCTCACGCCTGTAATCCTAACTACTCAGGAGGCTGAGATCTGAGGATCGCAGTTCAAAGCCAGCCCGGGCAGGAGAGACTGTGAGACTCCTATCTCCAATAAACCACCAGAAAACTGGAAGTGACGCTGTAGCTCAAGTGGTAGAGCGCTCGCCTTGAGCTGAAGAGCTGAGGGACAGCGCCCAGGCCCAGAGTTCAAGCCCCACGACCGACAAAAAAAAAAAAAAAGAAAGTCAACTGTGCTGTGCACCGGTGGCTGACGCCTATATTCCTAGCTACTCAGGAGGCTGAGATCTAAAGTGGGACTCTCATCTCCACTAAACCACCAAAGAAGCCAGTGATGGGAATCTTTCTTCTCCTAACTCCCTGTTGCTCCCCTCTTAGCCCATTCTTTTTATGAATCCAAAGACCTTTACCCCTGTTGGTCCATTCTTTCTGTATATTCAAAGATAGACTAAGAAGGCTCGACTCCCACCCTGTTTCCCAGGTGCAAACAGATACCAGGAAAAGCCACCAAAGATAAGTGAAGAGTGCTGGACTCCAGCAGAGCAATCTCTCTAAGCCTGGCTGTAAGCATTCCATCCTCCCTAGCCCTACTGGCTTTTTTATTAGCCTCTGCCTCCTTGCTCAGACCTCATAAAACCCAGCTCCTGTCCCAGCTCTACCTACAGTCTGTGTCCCCTGCCGCTTTCTCCACCAACAGTCCCCGTCTGTGGAAGACTGAGTCCAGCCTGTTTCCTTTCTTTCTCCTCCATTTTCCTAACAGCCAGAAGTGGAGCTGTGGCTCAAGTGGTGGAGCGCTGGCCTTGAGCAAAAGAGCTCAGGGACAGCGCCCAGGCCCTGAGTTCAAGCCCCCACAACACACACACACACACACACGCGCGCGCACGCACACACACACACACACACACACACCGCCTGGAAAAACTCTGCCAAACTTCATTTTTTTTTTCTTTTTGGTTTTCCACATGATCTATGGACTTTGTTTTTGGCGCCGGTTTGAACTCAGGGCCTGATTGCTGTCCTGAGCTTTTCCCACTCAAGACTGGATCTCTACCACTTGAGCCACACATCCATTCCTGGCTTTTTGTTGTTGTTGGTGGTGGTGGTGGTTAATTGGAGACAAGAGTTTCAGAGCTGAGGCTGGCTTCGAACAGAGATCCTCAGATCTTGAAAAAAAAACAGTTTATAAAGATTTTGTTTCATTGGATCAGTCTCGGCACAAACATTTCTCAGAGTCCTGGCGGCTGAGAGGAGGAGAAGGAGGGGACCCCGAGGGAGAGGCGGGGGGACCCCGAGGGAGAGGCGGGGCCAGGGCTTGTCTCTCACCTGTGGGGGGGCGGGGTGCAGTGTCCCTTGGCCCCCACTCACGGTGGGGGAGCGCAGGGGTCCCGGGCGCTCGGCGCTGTGCAGCCTCGGGGAGGTCACTGGGCGTCTCGGGGCCTCATCTGTGAAATGGGCACGGCAGCCACTCACGGGCCGCCCGTGGCGTCCGCGGCGCCTCCTGCGAGCGTGCACGTGCCGGAGCCAGGCGCCTGGGAAGGGGCGCAGGCCCGATCCGAAGCCAGGGGCGTCCCGGGGTGCGGGGGGCGCGGCCCCGCGGCCCCGTCCGCGCGCTCCCCCGTCGGGACCCGGCTGAGGAGCTGAAGTTGGGTCCCAGGCTGGCGGCGCAGGGGGTTGGGGGAGCGAAGCCTCCCTCTTACCTCGGGCCAGCGCCGGATCTGCCAACTCCGAGCCTCCACCCGCCGGGCCTCGCGGCCTCCCTTCCTTCGGTCCCCGCCGATGGCGCGACCTTCCGGGGCCGCGGATCCGCCAGCACGGCCGCCCCGCCCCGCCGCGGCTCCCCGCGGCTCCGCAGCTCGCGAACCCGCCGCTCTCGCCCCGCCCGGACACGCCCAATGTCGGACACGCCCCCGGACACGCCCCTGCGCGTAGCCACGCCCCTCCTTAAAGACACAGTCCCGAGAGCCTTCAGCCTTCCAGCCGCTTTGTGAGGGGAGTGGGGGAGAGGGGTGTGTGTGATGGCGTCGTGGGAGCCCCAGCTCAGGACTGGCACAGAGTGCACACTCCTTCGCGTAAGATGCCACTTGTGTCACTGTGTCCCCCTTCCCCCACTGCCCAGGCCCAGCACTGGGGCACCCACAGCTAGTATCCACGTGTAGGAATGGCCAGGCCAGCTCTGGGGTCAGCTGCCCTCTGACCTTGTCACATGCTGCCTGGGGAAGTGCTCCAAATCCGCTGAGTTTGGAGTCAAAGTCCTCCTCCCCTTGGCTCGGCCCTGACTCTGCAGTTCCGAGGCCGGCCAGGGGCTTGCCACAAGGTCAGTGGGGCCGGCAGCCCCTACCTCTCCACGTACCAGGACTGGGCTCTAATGAAGGAGGGGGGATGAGCACGCTCAGGGGGCCAAGCCCCCCCCCCCCCGGAACAGGGCAGGAGGCCAGCTGTGGCCAGGAAGGCAGCCTCTGGTCATGGCGCTCTGGTGGGCAGCACTCTGAGTTAGAGCTGTTTTTTTCAGGCTGGGAAAGCTTTTGCCACCATAGACGAAGCCAGCTCACGTCAGAGGGTGGGACCAAGGCTTTGTACTTCAGTGACAGAAAGGCCTCTATCCCAGCCCAGCTCCAGCCCCTTGGGTTTATAATACGTTTTTAAGGCAGAGAATCACAAACTTGGACCAGGCTGTCCTGGAAGTCACCATCCTCCTGTCTCTGTCTCTCTAGTGGCTGGGTTTCCAGCCTCCTGTCACCCTGCTTAGTCATGGATTAGCTACGGCTGCGTTGCAAGCTATCTACCACATTAAAGGCCTAAGGGACCAAACGTCTTTCCTTTCGGAGGGTCACAGACTTGGGAGGGGCTTAGCTTGAGTAGCCAGGTCTCAGGTCCTTCCTGTGCTAATCAGATGGGGGCTTGGCCATGTGGAAAGACTGCTTGGATGTTTGTATGTGTTTGTGTAGCCTGGAGCCTCTCCAGCTGAATTCCTGCTTGCTTAGCACTTGGCAGTCTCTGGGGCATACAAGTGCTTGAGGCCCCTCAGGGGTCCCAGGGCAGAAAGGAAGTTCTGTGACCTTGTCTGGCTGGTTGTGGCAGTGACTTCGTGGGCCACTTCTGCTTCTAGCACAGTCATGGGTCCCCTCCCCCCAGCTACCCCAGAGGAGACAGAGTTCTTTCCGTGGGAGACACATCAAATCCTATTCCAGGAAAAGCCAATGAGATGCCAAGATCTTTTCTTTATTTTCCTCTTGTGTCAGTACTGAAGCTTGAACTCAGAGACTGGGAGCTGTTGCTGAGCTTTTATGCCCCAGACCCGCACGACTATTTGAGCCACACCTCCGCTGCTGACTTTTTGCTGGTTACTTGGAGATAAGAGTCTCACAGACTTTCATGCCCAGGCTGACTTCTAACCGTGATCCTCAGAACTCAGCCTCCTGAGTAGCTAGGAAGAAGGCATGAGCCACTGGTGCATAGCTGGATGCCAAGGTCTTGGTTGTATTTGGAAAGTACAGCTGCCAGCAGAACTCAATCACAGGATATGTCTAGCTAGCACAATGAGCAGCAAAGGGGAGCTATATTTGTGGGGGCAGTAGGGAAAAGGACTCCCCACATCCCATTGAGTGAACAGCAATGTATAGCATCACACATGCTTGGGGGAGGTGAGGGAGAGACAGGGTCTTGCTATGTAGCTCAGGCTGGCCTTGAACTCATGATCCTCCTGCTTTAGCCTCCCAGAGTCTTGGATCATGAGTGATTGCCAATGCACTGGGATCCTGAGGATATCAGCTTCTTAGGAGTGAACCCCAAGTCAAGTTAAATTGTGAAATGGCAGAGATGGCACTGCACCCAGATCTGAGTGGAACCCGTTCAATACCTTCTACCACACCCAGGCTGGGCCACCTGCGTTATGCCAGACCCACCCGGGCACTAAGCTGCAACATTGGGGGGGGGGTAGAGTGGAGGTGGCAGGTGAAGACATATGCATGAATGGGGGTGGGGGACACAGCGTGAGCAGAAGTGGCGAGAGGGCTGGAAGGGGACAGAGAACTGGAACTTTCACTTAGTATAAGAAGCCGGACACAGGCAGGTTCCTTATCAAAACAGGAACCTCACCTTTATAACAACGTGGTTCGTATTAGTCCCTGCAGCCTGGGCCTAGTTCAGTGCTCTGGTGATGGGGGCTCCTCGTATCTCAGGGATGCCGGATGGACAGCAGAGCCTGCCTGTGGAGGGAGGGTCTTAACTGGAACGTTCCCTGGGTGCATTTCTTTTTTTGGGGGGGGGTCTGGTCGTGGGGCCTGAACTCTGGGCCTGGGCGCTGTCCCTCAGCTCTTCAGCTCAAGGCTAGTGCTCTACCACTGGAGCCACAGCACCACTTCCGGCTTTTTTTTTTTTTTTGCTTATGTGGTGCTGAGGAATCGAACCCAGGGCCTCAGGCATGCAAGGCAAGCGCTTTACCACTGAGCCACCTTCCCAGCCCTCCCTGGGTACATTTCATCTCCAGGAAGGAGATTGGACCCCAGCCACCCTTTCCTCCACCTGTGTCTCTCCAGGAGCTTTGTTGAGGAAAGGGAGAGAAGGGTTGGACAATGTCCTAAGCAGAACGTTGTTACAGATATCTTCACAACTGGAAATAACTTAAAGGTTCAGTGATTGGGGGTTACTCATATATGCAATATCATAACAGGTCTGGTGTGTGTGTGTGTGTGTGTGTGTGTGTGTGTGTGTGTGTGTATGTGTGTGCTGAAGACCAGAAGCCCAAAAGGCTAGCCCTCTAGCACACCCTCACTTCCAGCTTTTGGCCAGCTGCAGTATTTAGTTAGAGCTGACATGCTACTTCATCAAACAATTTAATGAAATATTAACAAAATATTAGCAACTGATGGAGGGCATACGGATCTGCATTCTACTACACTTGCAACTTTTCTCCAGATTGGAGATTTTTGTCAATTTGAAAAAGTGTCAAGGGCTGGGAAGGTGGCTCAGTGGTAGAGTGCTGGCCTCACCTACATGAAGCCCTGGGTTCGATTCCTCAGCACCACATAAGCAGAAAAGGCTGGAGGTGGTGCTGTGGCTCAGGTGGTAGAGCGCTAGCCTTGAGCTGAAGAAGCTCAAGGAAGCCGGGCGCCGGTGGCTCACGCCTGTAATTCTGGCTACTGAGGAGGCTGAGATCCGAGGATCGCAGTTCAAAGCCAGCCCGGGCAGGAAAGTCCGTGAGACTCTGAAGTGGCCCTGTGTCTCCAACGGTAGGGCGCTGGCCTTGAGCCGAAGAGCTCAGGGACAGCACCCAGGCCTCACGACCGACAAAGAAAAAGCTCCAGGACAGTGCTCAGGCCCTGAGTTCAAACCCCAGAAGTGGCTAAATAAACAAACAAAAAGGCATCACGGAAGGAAGAGTGGGCAAGGCTTAAGCAGGGGAAAGAGCACGCCTGGCCCTTTAAGATCTGCCCGCCCCCTGGGTCTCCCCCAGGCCCCGCCCACCCCGGAAAGACTCATTCTCCCCCCCAAGCCACGCCCAGCGCACAGACCCCGCCCCCAACCAGACCCCGCCCAGCTCTTAGGCCCCGCCCCACCGCAGGCCCCGCCCCGCGGCGGAGCGCGGTCACGTGGTTCAGGCTGCGGCGCGGCTGCGCGCGGTCATGGCGGCCCCTCCGTACGGGTCCCGCGGCGGCCGCCCGGCTGGGTCGCTGTCGCGGGCGCTGGTGCTGGCCGTGCTGGTCGGGCTGTCCCCGAGCGGCCCGGCGGGCGCCGTCCCGAGCCCGGGGGACCGCTGGGGGCGCCACAAGCCCGAGCCGCCCGTCTCCCGCAGCCGCTCGGTGCTGGTGGACGCGGCGTCGGGCCAGCTGCGCCTGGTGGACGGCCTCCACCCCGGGGCCGTGGCCTGGGCCAACCTCACCAACGCCATCCGCGAGACCGGGTAAGGGTTGGCCCGGCCCGCGCGGGGCCGCCTCTGCCGGCGGACGGCGCCCTGGCCCGCCGGGACTCAGTTTCCCCCGTCGCAGGGACCCCGCCCCCGTGGACGCTCCCCGGCCTCCCGCCCGTGGTGGCAGAACGTCTGTCCGGGAGAGCGCGGAGGCCGGCCTCGGCCCCCCTCCCCACCGCGGCCCGGGGACCCGCGCCTCCCCCCGGGGCCCGAGGCCGGCCCTGCCCCCGCGGCCCCCCAGGCTAGCTCGTCCTGCCCAAAGCCGGGGCCACAGCACTGGTTTCAGGCCAGTGGGAAAGTTGAGGGTCCCTAAGTTTCCCTTAGACACCCAGAGCCCCGGGGCAGGCCCGCCCCACACCACCCCGCCCCAGGCCCCCCGAGAGGCGGTGGGCCCAGGCTCCTGATCGCTGGCAAGAGGCTATTACTGTGAGCAAAACTCGTCCTGACCCCACTCTTCGCTTGTCTAGGGGGTGCTCTCCCCATCCTAGGCCCAGATTGATTGACTGATTGATTGATTGATTGATTTCAGTACTGGGACCCAAACTCAGGGCCTCACATTCTCACTTGAGTTTTTCACCCAAGGCTGGTGCTCTAACACTTGAGCCTCACAAGTTAATTGGAGAGGAGTCTCAATGTACTTTATTCCCTTCCCCTCCCCTCCTGTCCCCTCCCTTCTCTTCCTTTCCTTCCCCTTTCCCTCCCTTCCCCTCCCTTCTCTTCCCTTCCCCTATCACCAGTCCTGGGGCTTGAACTCAGGTCCTGGGCACCATCCCTGAGCTTCTTTTGTTCAAGGCTAGCGCTCTACCACTTGAGCCACTGTGCCACTTCCGAGTTTTTCTGTGTATGTGGTACTGAGGAATCAAACCCAGGGCTTCATGCATGCTAGGCGAGCGCTCTACCACTGAGCCACCTTCCCCGCACTCAGTGGACTTTCCTGCCTGGGCTGGCTTCCAACTGCAACCAGATCTCAGCCTCTTGAGTAGCAGGATTCCAGGCATGAGCATCTGGTACTTGGTTGGCTTTTGAGACAGAGTCTTGCTCTGAGGCACCCCAGGCTGGCCTCAAAGTTGAGATTTTCCTGCCTCGGCCCTCTGGGGTCCAGACGTGCACACCGTGCCTGGCCCTGCTCACTTCCTCATAGCAAAACCAGCTGCTTAGAAAAAAAATCAATGGAACTAAAAGAGTTTCAGACAAACTCAAGCCACTTAGAAAGGTAGGAAGAGATATAGGAAGCAAAAAACCTGTGTGAGACACCACAACTGGTTTAGAACTTCCTGTATATAAACAGGGAAGTAAAAACCTGTAGTAGCCCACCACACATAGAAATATATGTGTGTGTGTATGTATATATATATATGGGGCTGGGAAGGTGGCTCAGTGGTAGAGTGCTTGCCTTGCATACATGAGGCGCTGGGTTCGATTCCTCAGCATCACATAAGCAGAAAAGGCTGGAAGTGGCGCTGTGGCTCAAGTGGTAGAGTGCTAGCCTTGAGCTGAAGAGCTGAGGGACAGCGCCCAGGCCTGGAGTTCAGGCCTCACGACCGGACCCCCTCCCTCCAAGCAGGCCTAAACATGCATGCACGTGCATGTATAAGTACAGTTGTGTGTGTGAGAGAGAGAGAAAGAGAGAGAGAGAGAGATTCTTACTACTTTTGTTGGTTGTGGGGCTTGAACTCTGGGCTTGGGTGCTGTCCCTCAGCTCTTCAGCTCAAGGCAGTGCTCTACCATTTGGGCCACAGCGCCATTTCTAGCTTTCATTGGAGATAAGAGTCTCACGGACTTTCCTGCCCGGGCTGGCTTTGAACCGCGATCCTCGGAGCTCAGCTTCCTCAGTAGCTAGGATGACAGGCGTGAGCCACCAGCGCCCGGCTTGAGAAATACTTTTAGACGTCGTTATTCTATGGCCCCCCATGGCTTCTCTCTTCCTACCTTTGTCACTGACACCTGTCCTCAGCCTCAGCAAGCATGGCTGGCTCTGCCATCAGATGACTGTGGGCCCTGATGCTGGCCTCCCTCTTAATGGGCTCCATTCCTGAGGCTTTGGTGCCAGTGTGACTGAGACTAGATGAGGGGGTGGGAAGGCTCTGTGGCCATTGGTGGAGGCTGCAGGGTAGCACGGTGAAGGGCGGGGCCTGGGGGCCAAGAGCCTCTGCTCCGCACTGACTCCAGACAGCCTCCTGTCCTGTCAGGTGGACTGGAACTCCTGCCTGCGGCTCAGCGTGGTGGGGCTGGGTGTGTCAAGCGAAAGGAGGAGAGAATGTCGGCTGGTTGTGGGGTTGTAGGCTGATCCAACCTTGGTGGGTATGTAGGGGTTGTTTGGCCCTAGTTTAATTAAAGTCCCTGTGTCCTTCACCCAGCGGTTCATCTCTGCAACCAGGCAGGGCATGGAGGGACATTCCTGTAATCTCAGCACTCAGGGTGGGGAGGCAGGGGGGTCATTATTTATTCAGACCACAGCGTGGTTTACTGGAGAGAATCTGTCTCAAAAACGATAGGAACAGCGGGCGCCAGTGGATCACACCTGTCACCCTAGCTACTTGGGAGGCTGAAATCTGAGGATCATGGTGTGAAGCCAGCCCAGGAATGTCTGTATGACTTATCTCCAGTAAAACCACTCAGGGAAAAAAAACAAAAAAATAAGCAGGAAGTGGTGCTGGGGCCCAAGTGGTAGAGTGCTGGCATTGAGCACAAAGAGGATCAGGGATAACACACAAGACCCAAGTTCAAGTCCCAGGACTGGGGAGACAAGGCAAATAAAACCCAGCACCCTTGAGCAGATGTCTGTCTGGTCAGGAGCCACTGACCAAGAGTCCCCTTCCTGTCCAGGTGGGCCTTCCTGGAGCTGGGCACCAATGGCAGCTACAATGACAGCCTGCAGGCCTACGCAGCTGGCGTGGTGGAGGCTTCTGTGTCAGAGGAGGTAAGCCGAGGTGGGGCCCGTGGCCCCACTGCACTCCTGCTGGGCTGCGGGGTCTGGGGCATGCGCAGAAGGAGCCCCGGCCCTCCGTCCAGTCCTGACGGCTCCAGACATAGATGATGTTGCGGGTACATCCATACAGCAGCCAGCACCCCAGGTCCTCACGTGACACTACCACGTCACCAACGGCCCCCCCGCCTCCCGCCCACAGATGTTCAACACTTCTTTTTGTACTTGTCCTGGGGCCCTTGTGCTGTCTCTGAGCTTTTTTTTTTTTTTTTGCTCAAAGCTAGTGTTCTATCTACCACTTGAGCCACAGCTCCACTTCTGGCTTTTTGGTGGTTCATTGAAGACAAGAGTCTCACAGACTTAGCTGCCTGGGCTGGCTTCAACCCACGATCCTCAGATCTCAGCCTCCTGAGTAGCTGGATGGCAGGCGTGAGCCACCAGCAGCTGGCTGCAAATGTACAACCCTGGCCCTTGTGACTCACTGCCTGGGTGACCTTGGGAAAGGCCCCTGTGCCCCAGTTTCCTTATCTGCAAGTAGGCATGCCAGACAGCCTCATAGTGCTAAAATAAAGGGAAAGTTTGGTTTTACTTAGTTTGCCGACCTGGCACTTCCGATCCAAGGTCAGGCAGACTCGTGGCCTTGGGCGGGGATGGGCATGGCGGATGGTGAGCCCGCAGCCTCTGGGGACGGAGCGGAGCCAGATCAGAGCAGCGCAGGGGAGCCAGCAGCAGCACAGCTGTGAGGCCCGAACTTGTCAGCCCAGGCTCAACCTTGTACACAGCACTAGGCAGGCAGTGCCAACAGCCTGGCATGTGTCTTGCTGTCTTCTTATCCTGACCTCCGTGCTCAGAGCAGAGCAGAGAGCACAAAACATCCCCGGTGGCCTGGCTGGTGCATACAGCTCCAGGCAGGTGAGGTCCAGTCTAGGCCTGGCCGGTGGGGCCCTGGCAGGGACAAGAGCTGGGCGCTGCAGGAGGCGGTGGGAAGGGAGAACGGGCGTGATCTCAGGTGCCTCTGCTCTGGCCGGCTGAGCCCTCAGGGTCTCCCCCCCCCATCTGTCGCTCCCAGCTCATCTACATGCACTGGATGAACACAGTGGTGAACTACTGCGGCCCGTTCGAGTACGAGGTCGGCTACTGTGAGAAGCTCAAGAGCTTCCTGGAGGCCAATCTGGCATGGATGCAGGCGGAGATGGAGCAGCAGGTGAACTCCACCTACTGGCACCAGGTGGGCCTCTCGTGGGGGGCAGTGCCACCCTTGGGGCGCCCGGCTTCCCCGCTGGCCAGCTGCCCGCCTCCCGCTCTTGGTCTGCCCTGGGGTGTGTGGATGCCCTGTGCCGGCCTCTTCCCGTCTCCCCGGCCCATTCTGCTCTCTCCCATCACATATTTTTCTCGCATAGCAAGGTGATTGCTTCCCACATGGCGTGTATCAAATGCAGGTGGAAACAGTTTGAGAAGAGGAAAGGGACAAAACGAAAACACAGAGTTGGGGCCCAGTGGAGTGTGTTTCCCTTTCCCTGGCTGTGCCGGGGCTTTGCCTTTGGGCTGCTGTCTCCGTCCTCAGTGAAAAAGTCAGTTACCGTGAGCCCCGCGGGAGACTCCGGGGCTTACCTGGGAGCTCTCCACCAATCTGGCTCTGCAAAACGGATGCCTGTTCACACAGCCGCGATTCTCACTGCTCTTCACACCTCCCATCCCCCTGCACCTGCCCTTCCACCTCCAGCCCTCACCCACTCACACATCCGCTTGTCCGCCCATCCAGCCACCCGTGCCCCCACCAACATGTCCCTCCCTCCCCGCCCCTGGGCATGGAGCTGTGCGGGCCAGGCCTGTGAGAGGTGTGGCGATCGCGGCTCCAGGGTGCCCAGGGGGAGCAGGGACAGCTAGGAACCAACTCAGACTGGCAGTAGTCACCAATGGGCCAGCATGGGATGGGGGGCTTCCTGGAGGAAGTGGCTTTTGACCTCGGCTCTTCAGTGAGGGTAACTGGGGTGGGCACAAGCTGGGGACGTAGTCCACTGGAAGCAAGGGAGTGCTTGGCGTGCAAGGCCCAGCGTGGGCTGGAGCCCCTTCCTCGAGGGAGAGGGGCAGCCCTGGGGAGAGGCCTCACCCCCACCCCACCCCTAGGTGCGGCTCACCCTCCTGCAGCTGAAAGGCCTGGAGGACAGCTACGAAGGCCGTGTGGCCTTCCCGACAGAGAAGTTCACCATCAAACCCTTGGGGTTCCTGTAAGTGCCCCCCAAGCGTGCACAGGGTGGGGAGGGCTCCGCACCTCCCAGTGAGACCCCGTCCCATGCCAGCTCCACCCTTTCCTGCACCCCAGCCCAGCGGGTCAGCCGGCCCCTGGAGCCTCGGCCTGTGGCGGGTGCGGGGCCGCAGGCCTGTGACCCCAGAATCTGGCCTCGCAGCCTGCTGCAGCTCTCGGGAGACCTGGAAGACCTGGAGCCCGCCCTGAACAAGAGCAACAGCAAGCCTGTGCTGGGCTCGGGCGCCTGCTCCGCCCTGGTCAAGCTGCTGCCCGGCCACCGCGACCTGCTGGTGGCCCACAACACCTGGAACGCCTACCAGAGCATGCTGCGGGTCATCAAGAAGTACTGGCTGCAGTTCCGGGAGGGCCCCGCAGGTGTGAGCACCCCACAGGAGTGTGGGCGGGCCCCGCGGGGCGGGGTGCCGCTGCGCAGCCCTGCTGGGGGTGGCCCCACTTGACAAGGGGTACCCGCTTGCGCTTGCCGCATGACCGGGGCAGGGGTCAGCCCCAGCCCGGCCCTGCCTCTAAAGCAGCCCCTTCTGGGGAAGAGTGCTTTGCCCACTGCGTTAAGGCACACACAGGAAGCTTCTAGCATGGTGGAGCTTAGCCGGCAGCGTCCTGTGGTAAGAGACATTTGGACTCTTGCACGCTGCACGCCCCCAAGTGTAGTAGCCCGCATGAGAGGTAGAGCGCAGGAAGCCTGCTCAGTGAGCCGCCCTGCTGGCCAGGCCTGGCTCGCGTGGCTGGCGTGGCCTGGTGGGGGCCGTGTGTGGGCCAGCGGCTCACGTGGGCCTGGCTTGTTCCTTGGTGGACACTGTCCTGGGCAGCTGCAGGTTTGCCCTGGCCTGGAACTTGGATTCTCCTGCCTGAGCCTCCTGAGTGCTGGGATTACCGTATGTCGCCACACCTGGCCACATACCCCCTTCTAAACGAAGGAAGGGGTGGAGTGGGGTTTCCTCCGGGGTCTGCTCGCTTGCTTCCCACCTGGGGACCTCTCCTGGCCGGGTGTGGGTGCTGCGGTCTCCGCAGACCTGCTCACCAGCCCCTCGCTGCCCCCCCACCCCCCACAGAGGACCAGCCCCTGATCCCCGGCAGCAAGCAGGTCTTCTCGTCCTACCCGGGAACCATCTTCTCCTGTGACGACTTCTACATTCTGGGCAGCGGGCTGGTGAGTCACCTGTGCCCCCTCCCCGGGGACCTGCCCCAGCGTGAGCCACAATCCAGGATGGAGGTGGAGATGGCCACCGCCTGCCAAACATGGCCCGAGCTCCTTTCTGGCTGGGGTGCCCAGACCCCCACAAGAGCTTGATCAGCAGAGATCACACACTCGTGTGGCTGACGTGGCCTGGAACCCTGTGTCTTAATCCAGGTTTGGGGGAGTCCCCTTGACTTCTGTGACCTCCTGTGGGTGTTGGGGAGGCTCCCCCTCCTCCCTGCCCACGACCTCGACCTTGTTCTGCCCGCGTCCACGGCTCTGAGCCTGGGCCTGGTGCATCACTCCTGTTGACAATGGGCTGTCCCCCCCCGCCCCTCCCCCATCACCTGGCGGGTCTCCAGGCTTGTTTAGAAATTTGTTCCGGCACCCTCAAAGGAGTCCTGCGATCCCAGGGCGCCCCCCCCCCGCCCCGCAGCACTGCTGGAGACCCAGCTCTCCTCTCCAAGTGCCCTCTGCACGGGGTGGGGGTGGGGTGTAGTGTGGAGGGCCGCTGCTCTCTTGTCTTTTCTGTTGCTTTTCTCCAAGGCCAGGCATGGGGCGGGGGCGGGCTTGCTGGGGAGTGTGGCAGCCGCAGGGGGGCTTGAGCCCCTGGGAACACGGGGCCTCAGGGGACTCCCCTCCTGCAGGGCCTCCCCTCCAGTTTTTTGGTCAGCTTCAAAGCAGGTGGTTTGGGGGAGGGGGTCTTGGAGGCCCCCTGCCCCCAAGGCTGTTCAGATGCCTGGCAGAGCTGACCAGAAGCTGGTTGTGGGGACAGCCAGAAAGACAGTGGCATCGTTCCCTTGATGAGGGATCTGTACCCCAGGAAGTCTAGACATGTGCCTAGACATGTGCCCCCTGATGTTACACGTTCTCAGCAGGACACTCCCCCGCCCCCTGTTTTTGTCCCAGCGCGAGGCCTGGGTGCTGTCCCTTCGCTTTTGCTCAAGGCTGGCCCTCTACCACTTGAATCACACCTCCAGTTTTGGCTTTTGCTAGTTAATTGGAGATAGGAGTCTCTCAGATTTGTCGACCCCAGCTGGTTTCACACTGTGATCCTCAGATCTCAGGCTCCTGAGTAGCTGGGATTACAGGCAGGAGCCACCAGTGTTGGGCACTGAACAGGAGGGTGTAACAAACCACTCCTCACTCAGTTTCAGCACGGCCACGTGGTGGCAGGCCACCTGTCTGGGCTGTGCAGTGTCCCTTAACGCCCTCCCCCCCCCCAGGTCACACTGGAGACCACTATCGGCAACAAGAACCCCGCCCTGTGGAAGTACGTGCAGCCCGAGGGCTGCGTGCTGGAGTGGGTGCGGAACATCGTGGCCAACCGCCTGGCTGTGGATGGGGACTCCTGGACAGACACCTTCAAGAGGTTCAACAGTGGCACGTGAGTGGGCTCTGGCCTGGGACAGAGTCCTCAGCCCTCAGGCACCAGGAGGCCCAGGACGAAAGGACTGCCCTTTCTGTTTGAAGTTGGGTGGGAACATCAGGTTTGGCAGGAGGAGGAGGGGAGAGGAGGAGAGGGAAGGAGAGGAGGAGGAGGAGGAGCAGGAGGAGGGGGCAGGCTTGTGACCCTGGGTCTCAGAGGCCCCAGAGAGGCCCACACATGCTGGGGAGCCACGGAATGCCCTTCTGGGCCAGCAGTGCGGGCACCCAGCCGGGCCGTGTGTTGTCAGGGTGGTGGCGGTCATTCCTAGGCCATCCCTGCCCGGGACTCGGCACTGGGGCAGGGGCTGGGCAGCGGCCCGGCTCTCTTCAGTCCCCGCCTTCACCGCAGGTATAATAACCAGTGGATGATCGTGGACTACAATGTGTTCATTCCGGGAGGGCCCAGTGTTCCGAGCAGGGTGCTCACCATCCTGGAGCAGATCCCGTGAGTGGCCTCCTGGGAGGCTGGCAGGGAGGGGATGAGCCAGGGCCGGAGAGTCGCCCCCTCTGGCACGGGCGGGGCCTCGGGCCTGTGCGGGCGCAGGGCACAGGGCGCAGGTGCTCACTGAACCCTCTGCTCCCAGGGGCATGGTGGTAATAGCTGACAAGACCCAGGAGCTCTACCACGCCACCTACTGGGCCAGCTACAACATCCCGTACGTGCCCTCCCTCCCCGCCTGCCTCCCAGCTGCCCTTGCTTCTGGGGGTGCAGGGTTCTCCCCTAGGTGACTTGTTTGCTTTTGCCGGTACTGGCGCTTGAGCTGCAGGCCTCTCACGTTGCTGGAGCTGGTCCGCTTCCAGGCTTTGCCGGGGGCCGGGCAGCGAGTCCCTGTGCTCTTGTGCCTCAAAGCTCAGTCTGTGGCCCCAGCTCCGGCCCCCGAGTCTGGGCAGCGGGGCGGGGCTGGATGGGGCAGCCTGCCACTTCTCCAGCTCGGCTGCCTCGGTGCCCCTTGCTTCCCGCCTGGTGCAGGGAATCGTGGGAGGCTGGGGATGAGCCTGTGTGGGTGGGCCCCAGAGCCGTGGACTCCATCCCCGCCCTGTCACCGCCCCTGGGCGTCAGGCCAGGGCCTGGGTCTGCGGCCTGGTGACCAGCTCTGTCCCCCCCCCCCCGCCCCGGCAGGTCCTCCGAGACCGTGTTCAATGCCAGCGGGCTGCGGGAGCTGGTGGCCCAGTACGGGGACTGGTTCTCCTACGACAAGAGCCCCCGTGCCCAGATCTTCCGGCGGAACCACTCGCTGGTCCACGACATGCACTCCATGATCCAGCTGATGAGGTGCGCCGCGCCCCGCCATGCCGTGCCGGGGAGCCCCCGACTCACGGGGGGGTGGAGGGATCCGTGTAGGACCGGCGTGGCTGTGGCTGTGTGGCCGGGGCCATCGGAGTCCCCAGCGGTGTTGTGGAGGGACAGAGCGGGGTGCCTCCCGCTCCTGCTCTTCCTGGGGCAGGTGGGGTGCATGGGCTGGTCTGGGGAGCCCCGGGGCGGTGGCCTTGAGGCTCCTGTGCCTTCGCTCGCCAGGTACAACAACTTCCTCCACGACCCCCTGTCGCTGTGCGAGGCCTGCGACCCCAAGCCCAACGGGGAGAACGCCATCTCCGCCCGCTCCGACCTCAACCCGGCCAACGGGTCGTACCCGTTCCAGGCGCTACGGCAGCGCTCCCACGGGGGCATCGACGTGAAGGTGGCCGGGGGGGGCTGCCGGGGGGGGTTCACGGGCAGGGCGGGGCCATGGCCTCGGTCAAGGTCAGGGGTCAGGTGAGCCAGGCCCCCCCAGATCTCATCCACCTGCCCTCTGCCCCCTCACCCCCAGGTCACCAGCATGTCACTAGCCAAGGCCCTGGGGCTGCTGGCCGTCAGCGGCCCCACGTGGGACCAGGTGCCCCCGTTCCAGTGGAGCTCCTCGCCCTTCCCAGACGTGCTACACATGGGCCAGCCGGACCTCTGGAAGTTCTTGCCCGTGGAGGTCCTGTGGGGCCCGTTCTGGAGACCCGCCCCGCCCTCTGAGGGGCCCTGATTTGTCGCCAGGGTCTGCCAGGGCCACCTGCATCCAGTGGTCTCCTCGCGGAGTGACATGCAAACCCAACAGGGCACGGGCCCGACCTCACTGTCCCCAGAAGCAGGGCAGCCACGGCCATCCCGCCCTGCCTGTCTTGCTTTCTCCCTCCCTCCATGGCTCTCTCCCCCTCCGCTGCTCTCCCTCCCTCCCTCCCTCACCCCCATTTCTCCATGTCTCTGCCATCTCTGGGCCTGCCCTAATACTCTGCTCCCTCCTCAGTCCTAAACTGGGCCTCCCCCCAGGCCTCCTCCCCTCTCCCTCGCTTGGGATTCCTGGGGTAGTGAGCTTCTGGTCCTGGGTGTGGTCTCTGGTTGGTCCTGGCCAGTCTGGTGCCTCCCTCTTCAGGGAGCAGCCCTGCCCATGTCCCTCGTTCCTCTGTCTGGGCAGCTTCCTGAGGACAGAAGCTTGATCACGCACACGAACCAAAGTTTCTGGCCACCTATGGCTGGCGGACTCTCAGTGTCTTCTCCCTGCGGGGCTGGTAGCTCTGCGCCCAGGCTCCGGTCTGCCCCACCCCTGCCTAGACCTGCCCCTGGGCTCCGGCCAGAGCCATAGCACCCTGCTGCAGCAACCGAAGGGCAGGCCGTGCGTGATGCCATTAAACATGAGAGGCTGTGGCTGCGCCGTGCTTCTTGGGGTGAGGGAAGGGGCGGGGCCCGTCTCTTGGCTGGCTTCAGTTATACCTCCCACTGACATAGATGTCTGTCCGTCTGTCTGTCCACATGCAGTCACCCACCCATCCATCTGCCCAGTAACCCATTTGTTCATCCATCCATTTATCCTTCCTTCCTTCCTAGGTATTTATTGAGCACCTGCCACGCACGAGGTCCTGACTAGGGCCTTGGTAACCGCTGGGCCCTCTAAGGCCCTGCTGTGGGCTGTAGACCATCCCAGAGCAGCCCTGTCCCAATGGCCTCCCGCACAGCCTGCCTGAGAGCTGAGACCTTCATGCTGTTCTGTGCTGGGGGTGGAAAGCACACAGCCCTTCCTGGAGCCACGGACATGGCTTCGAGTCCGGCCTCTGTCTCTCACTAGGTGTAGAAACCTTAGAGCCTTGGTGGCCTCATCTGCAAAGTGGGGCTGCGATGTTCACAGCCACCCCAGGGTGTGGTGAGGGAGCCGGGAGCTCTGTGCACGCGCTACCTACTGTTAGCAAGCCCCCGTCGGGCCCCCAGTACAGGCCCGGCCCTGCTTCCCTGTCCCAAGAGGCCTGTGGTTCTCAGGCACCTGACCTGCTTCTTGTTGGCATGAACTCAGGGCCCTAAACTGGCCCAGCTTTCTTGGTCACGGCTGGTGCTCTACCACTGGAGCCATATCCTTCTAGCCCAGCTTTTTGCTGATTAATTGACGAGGAGTCTCATGGACTGCCCAGCCTGGCTTCAAGCTGGGATCCTCAGATCTCAGCCTCCTGAGTAGGATTACAGGTGTGAGCCACCTAGCCAAGATTTTTTGTTATTGTTTTATAAATACGTATTTATCCTTTTCAATGAAAAAGTGCACCTTAGAAAACTGGTTGAGCTGAGCTGGGCCTCGGGGGGAGGGCGTCCCGATGTGAGTCTGTGCAGTGCTCTCGGGTTCGGCTTGGGGGGAAGCCTGGGTGCCGAGTCCCTCCTGCTGAGATCTGGGACCCCGCCACGGCCCCGGGGCGCTGCTCCAGGCAGCCACCACCCTCGGGTGGCTGAGAGCGGTCCCTTGTTCCAGAGGCTCAGTTCAGCACCTCGGGGGGCTGCTGACTGGCCAGCCCAACTCTGCTCACAATCCAGAAGGAGTATTCACGGCGAGGTGCAGGTGTAAACCCATCCCAGGCGCGGCCGGGCCTCACTCCGGCAGTCCGTTCTTCATGCCCAGCTGTGCCTTGAGGGCCTGCAGCTGGGCCAGGCTGATGTTGCTGCCCCCGCAGACAATGGCCACCACGGAGGACAGGGGCACCGGCAGCTTCCCCTCCCCCTGGAGCTTCTTCACAACCTGGCTGTAGATGGCAGCCAGGGCAGCCCCACAGGCGGGCTCCACCAGGGTCTTCTCATCGTCTGCGGGGGGGGGGGGGGGGGGGGAGGGGGGGGGGGGGGGGGGGGGGGGAGGAAAGGGTGTGGTCAGGTGGGTGTGAGGAACTGCAAGGCCATTTGTGGAGCTTGGGGGTCATGGGCCAATCAGAACAGGCCACTTGCAGAGCTTGGGGAACATGAACCAGTCAGCTCAGCTCTGGCCACAGACTCAAGTCTTGGCCCAAACTCTCATGATCACACCGGATAGGTAGGGCCCTCCGAGCCTGAGGCAGGGTCTAGGTTTGGTCCTGAGCATTCACAGATGTGAAATGGTGGTCATTGCTGAAGCACTGAGCATCACAGCTGAGTAGCCAAATTGCCAAGTTCAGGAGAATTAAGTGGCAGCAGCATAGTGCTCCACCCTCTCGCCTCCAGTCCCTGTCCTAGGCTGAACCTGGAAGGAGTTCAGTTATTGACCCTCCTGCAAATCCAACTCTGAGCCCATCCTTTCCTCCTTTACCACGGCAACTAGAAGCTCAGAATCAACATTTGAAACATTTAGTTATTGTTCCCTATTTTTATGGTTACCAGACTTACTTCCTTGTGGGTAGCATTTGTGTGTGTGTGTGTGTGTGTGTTTGTTTTAAGCTTTGTTGTACTATGAGAAAGGCCACATTCTAGACAGAGATAGGAGGCAAAATTGGAGTGAGCAGGATCCCTTGGCACATACCCACAAACTTCTCAATGGCAGCCACAGCCTCCTGGTCCGAGACAACCTCAGAGAAAATGGGGTGTTCCTGAAACACCTTCAGGGCCTGTGCCCCTACAGTTGCCACGCCCAGAGCCTTGGCGACACTGGGAGAGGTGGGAATGCGGATGGGAATGGGGGAGGGGCAGGCGAGAGAGGAAGGAGGCAGAGAGGGGGACAAGGAGGAGAGAAAGAGGTGCATGTAAGAGACAGCCCCTGCAGCTCCGGGTGGGGAGCCCAGGAGCCTGCCCCTCTCTGCCTGGGCTTCCAGGCTCAGGATTGCAGCCCCCTCCTCCTAGGTATGACCCCATAGTGCCACGGTCCCCCACCCCTACCCCCCGCCCCCACCAAAACAAGCACCATGCATGACGTAATGCATGGCAGCTTTTGCTGATACTAATTGCCTGAGTTTTGTATAAGGAAACTGAGGCGGGGGGGGGGGTGGGTAGTGGAGGTGAGGGGGAATCTCCACAATGATCACTTCTGTCCCTGCAGGGAACAGAGGCCAGAACAGCAACAGCCAGACTCAGAAATCCAGAGGATTCCTGTCTGGGGCAGAGAACTCTTGTCTACTGTAGGTATTCCAACTGCACCCATGGAGACCTGGCATCAAGACACTTTCCCAGATTCCCTTGCAGCTAGGTGTGATCACGTGACAAGTTCTGTCCAATGAGAGGCAGTTCAGCCAGTTTTCAACGCTATGATCATGTAGAAGGGAGAGTGTGCTTTGGATTTGGAACTTGGGACTCACTCCAGGCGACCGATTTAGGATACAATGCTGTCTCCCTTTGTGGGCAAGGGTTGGGGACAACTCCGTAGTAGAAGAGTATGGGTGAGTGAGGTGCCTTTGATTTTTTTTTTTTGACTTAGGATGTTTTCTCCTGTTGATGTTTCCCAGGATGGAACCCTGTCACAGTCAAAAAGCCAGCTGTACTTTGTCTTTAAAGGCTGGGCACAGCCATTTGCCTTTGCTTCCTCTTTCCTGCCAGATGGAGGGTGGCCGTGCTAGCTGGCACGTAGGCAGCCATTTTGGACTTAGCATAGTGGGGCAAGAAACTCCAGGAACCTGGTCTCTGATGTGGACTTGCCCACAACATGCCCCCCTTCAGATTCTCATAGCAGAGAAAAATAAAGCTCTATGTTAAGCCACTGTTGCTGTACTGCATGCACCCCCAAAGCTAGTGCAGCGGGACAAAGATTGGGTACTGGAATATGAATGCCCTGAGAGCAAGAGCTATGCATATTTGTCACCTCTCTCTGAGATCAGCCAGTGTCTTGCACAAGTCAGGGGCTCAATAAATGACTGGCAGATTAATGCTGTGTGTAAACCTTGATTTCTAGAAATGATTAATGTAGCCCAGTATCTCTGGTTCACTCCCCTAATCCTAAATACTCAAGAGACCGAGATCTGATCATCATGGTTCAAAGACAGCCCAGGCAAAAAAGCTGTGAGACTCTTATCTCCAATTAACCATCAAAAAGCCAGAAGTGGAGCTATGACTCAAGTGGTAGAGCACCAGCATTGAGACAAAAAGCTAAGGGACAGATCCTGAGTCCAAGCCCTAGGACACACACACACACACACACACGCATCACACACACACGCATCACACACACACACGCATCTCACACACACACGCATCTCACACACACACATCACACACACATCACACACACACATCACACACACACACACATCACACAGACACATCACACACATCACACATACACACATCTCACACACACATGCACACACACACATCACACACACACGCATCACACACACACATCACACACACGCATCACACACACGCATCACACACACGCATCACACACACGCATCACACACACACATCACACACACACATCACACACACATACACACACGCATCACACACACACGCATCACACACACACACACATCCACTTGTTAATATTAACATTTTTATCCTAGGAAATGGGACATTGTTGGCATGCAGTCCCAGCCTGCCTATGCACAAACACCCACAGCTTTAGTTTCCGAAATGGCCTGTAAAACAGGGCTAGGGTAAAACAGGGCTAGGGGGTGTGGGAGACTCCCTGGCTGCTTACCTGGTGATCCTGGGCAGGGAGACCAGCTTGCCTTCCCTTGTGGCCGCATGGAAGCTGTGGGCACCGATGGTTTCCATGGCGATGATGGGTACGTCCCCCCAGCCCACCTCCTGCAGTCCCTGGACCACCCCGCACAGCAGCCCCCCGCCGCCCACCGACAGTACGATGGCCCCTGGCTTTGTGCTCAGCGCCTCTTTCAGCTCCTTGACGATGGACATGTGGCCTTCCCTGGGGGGTGAGGTCAGGAGAAGTGGGGGACAGGTCAGGGCTGAGCTCTCTGGGGACGCCAGACAGGGGTCCCCCACTGAGATGACAGGTTGGGTTGCACCTGCCTTCATCTGAGGCAGCCGATGGGTCTTGGACACCCCTGCCTGCCCCCAGCCCTGGCTGTCAGCCTCTCTGGCCTCTGCAGCTGCCTTACAATGTGGCCCTGAGCCCGTGGGGAAGGGAGACTTTGGCTAAACGCCCCCACGCCTCCTCCGCGTGTGGAGGACCCACGGGGCACCCAAGGACAAAGCCCCAGCAGCCAGGGAAGGCTCCCTGCCCACCAGAGCCCCTCCACCCACTTCCTGCCCGTGTCACCGAGTCACCCCCAGATGAGCTGCTTCCTTCCTCTCTGGTCCTTGCTCCTGGGGGGGGGCTGCATTGGAGTCCCCATCTCTGTGGAGCTATGTGTGATAGACGCCCACCACCCACACCAGGGGACCCAGAGACCCACTCACCAGATAAGGGGGTCATCGAAAGGGGGCACGTACACCCAGCCGGGGTTGTTCTTCACCAGGGCCTTGGCCAGCTCGAAGGCCTCCACCAGTGTCTGTGGGGCCATAGGACGGAGATAGGGGGCATGGGGGATGGGCGTGGCTGGGGTGTGGGTGGGGCTTGGGATGTGGGCGAGGCCAGGGTGGGCGGGGCCAGAGGTGGGATCCTGTCCCGCCCCAGGTGTCCTAGGACAGGGTGGGCGTGGCTGGGATGTGGGTGGGGCTTGGGATGTGGGCGAGGCCAGGTGGGCGGGGCCAGAGGTGGGATCCTGTCCCTCCCCAGGTGTCCTAGGACAGGGTGGGCGTGGCTGGGTGGTGGGTGGGGCTTGGGATGTGGGCGAGGCCAGGGTGGGCGGGGCCAGAGGTGGGATCCTGTCCCTCCCCAGGTGTCCTAGGACAGGGTGGGCATGGCTGGGTGGTGGGTGGGGCCGGAGAGGTAGGATCTTGGTTGGCTCTTACTTCTCCCACCACCTCGACCGTGGCTCCTTCGCTCTTGAGCCGCTCCACGGTGAGCTCGGGCGTGGTGTTGGGCACGACGATGGTGGCGGGGATGCCCAGTTTCCTGGCGGCATAGGCGGCCGCCATGCCCGCGTTGCCCGCTGTGCGTGGGGGGGGTGGCAATGCCTCAGTGTGGGGGTGACCTGGTCCAGCCCGGCCAGGTCACCCCCACACTAAGAGCTCTGGTCTCCCCTTCCTCCCCCATGACCACGGGCCTCCTCCTAGAACTCAGAGTGGAGACTGCGGGCACAGCGCAGGTGAGGGCGCAGAGAGGTGGTGCGGTGGCCCGAGGACATACAGCGAGGACACAAGAAGCTGCTGGCTTACCTGAGGAGCAGACGAAGTGCTCACAGCCCCGCGCAGCCCACTGTGGAGACAAGAGCGGAGGTGAGGGCCGCCCCTTCATTGCTGGGCGCGGCCTTCACCCCCAGGGCAGGGGGGCCAGCCCACCCAGCACCCCTTTGCGTCTGTTTGGGAGTCTGCCAGGTATGGGGAGGGGGGCTGGGCGCGTGGTCTCCCTGCCACATCCTCCCCAGCGCTGGGAAGGCAGGTGTGTGCCATCTCCCCAGCTCCCGAATCATGGGGTCCAGACCCTGGTCCTCGGGAGGAAGGAGGGCTCTCTCCCCCATTCCACCCCCGCCTGTACCGTCTTGCAGAAGTGCCCAATGCCGCGGATCTTGAAGGAGCCGGAGGGCTGGGAGCTGTCCATCTTGAGGTAGACACTGGTGCCGGCCACCTTGGTCAGGGTCATGCTGTCGCGGACGGGGCTCTTCACGTGCAGGGCCTCTGCCGACGCCATTGTGGAGGGTCCTGAGAGCTGGCCGGGTGCTGGTGGTTGCCCTGAGGTTGGGGGGGCGGGGGGGTGGAGGAGGTGTTGAGAAAAGCTCTGAGGTGATACAGTGACCCAAGACTGTCAACCTCAGCCCCAGCCTTTAGCTCGTCTTGGGCCATGAGCAGGTAATCTGTCCTCCGCCTCTGCTTCCCCAGTCTGGAAAATGGGGTGTGGTTTGGGCTGCTGGGGGAGCTCAGGTGGTAAGCTCAGAGCACAAGCTCTCTCAGGCTCTGTGGCCTCACATGCAGGTTGAGTCTTTGGTCTTGCCAGGATTTACAGGGGAGATCTGATTCTCCCCCAACTTGGGCAGAAGGTTGGATGAGGGCTTGTCTGGTGTCCCCCGCAGCCCAGATAAATCGGAGCCAACATCTCCATTTTTTTTTTCTTTTGGTTGGTTGTAGGTCTTGAACTCTGGGCCTGGGCACTGTCCCTGAGCTCTTCAGCTCAAGGCTAGCACTCTACTACTTGAGCCATAGCGCCACTTCTGGTTTTCTGGTGGTTTATTGGAGATAAGAGTTTCACGGACTTTCCTGCCTGGGCTGGCTTTGAACCTCAGTCCTCACATCTCAGCCTCCTGAGTAGCTAGGGTTACAGGCGTGAGACTGGTGCCTGGCAAGCATCTCCATTTTTAATGTCACCATTGAGTCCAGACCTCTGGACTTGGCACTCCTGGCTCAAGCATAGACTGCAGACAGCTGGCTAGAGTTCTCAGTTATAAGGAAAGTGCGGGGGGGGAGGGGAGGGGGGAGGGAGCCACCTCACCCACCTCAGCACATCCCTCTCTGACCACCCCACGACCGCCTAGATTAATGCAGATCCTAGGCCGGTCACCTCCTCTCAGGTAGATCTCTTGATATGGTGGGCACTTCACAGCAGGTGCTCCTAGCCAGGCACTAGCGCTCACGCCTGTCATCCTAGCTACTCCAGAGGCTGAGATCTGAGGATGGAAGTTTGAAGCCAGCCAGGGCAGGAAAGTCTGAGACTCTTCTCTCTAATTAACCACCAGAAAGTCAGAAGTGGCGCTATGGCTCACGTGGAAGAGCACTAGCCTTGAGCAAAAGAGCTCAGGGACAGTGCCCAGGACCTGAATGCCAACCTCAGGACTGGCACAAAATAAAAACAAAACAAGAGTGCACCCCCAAATCTTCTGGCAATAACTTTCAGTTCCTATGGTTATGACCCAGCCGCGGCACCCAGTCATGACCCCTGGGCATGGAAAGCCTGTGGATCCCACCACAAGGACCCCTTGTCAGGCAGATTTGGGGAGCCCCAGCAACCCTCTCCTGGGCTGGGCTCGCAGAGAAAGGGGTTCAGAGACCTGAAACCCATCCCACCTGCCGGAGGGAGGGAAGTGGCTTGGGGACTGGGAACACTCAGTGACTGTCACCTCTTACGGCTCATTTCCCTGAGTGGGGGTGAGGGAGGGTGGGAAGGTACGGGGGGTGGGGTAGGGAGGGATGGGGGCGAGGGGTGGACTCTGAGATTGTCCCACTGTACAGAAAGGGACACCAAGGTCCGGAGCCCCTGGCTGCAGAGATCTATCCGCCCCCTGTCCCTCACTTGCCTCCCTCTTCCCCTGACAGCCCCTACTGGGGTCCCCCAGCCAGTCAGGCCCCGGTGTGTGTGGGGGGGTGTTAGCTGAGAACGGGGCCACTTACCCGGCAGAGGCGGTAAGGAGCTGCTGGATTGGGTCGGTGGTCCAAGCCGAGGGGGAGCACAGACTGCAGAACTGGACCCCCTGGTGTACACTCTGCTCAGGCTTTATTCCCCCAGCACCTCCAGGCAACCAATGGGGTCCCAGGGCGCCCGCGAGGCCACGCCCCAAGGCCACGCCCCTGCCTAGAGCACACCTCCTGGCTGCTGGAGCTTCCTGGAGGGAGGGGGAGCTGGCCTGCTTTCTGGGGCTGGATCTCCGGTCCCAGTGGCCTCCCTTCCCTCCCACCCTCAGTTTCTTCATTTGCCCATGGTAACATCAGCTACCCCAGGACTCGGGCTGGCATGGGATCCTGAGAAACCTTTAAGCGACTCAGCCTGCGAGTCCCAGGCTGCCAGGGCAGCCAGAACCTGTCTCAAAAAGAGTGGCCAAGGACCAGGAGAGGGCTCAGTAACAATCACCATCTTACAGAAAGAGAAACTGAGGGCTGGGCGTGGAGGCAAAGGCCTGCAATCCCAGCTTTTTGGGAGACAGAGGAAGGGCTGAGGATCAAAGTTCCAGGCCAGCTGGGAAAAATTAGCACGAGACGATCTCATTGGAAAAACTAATTTAGAAAGGCTGGGGGCAAGGCTCGACTGGGTAGAGCTTGCCTAGAGAGCACCGAGGCCCTGAGTTCAAACCCCAGCATCACCAAAAAGAACAAGGAAAATGAGAAGAGAAGAAAAGTCTTGCTGCACCACGCTCAGCCTCCTGTCCACCCTTGACTGTGTGTGTGAGGGGCACAGAGGGCCGTTTGCACACGCACACACGCACACATGCACCTGGGCTGGTTCTTTCCCAGGCCCCCACGACAAAGATCTCTTGTCATCCTGGGCAGGTCAGGAGTATCGATGAGAAGGCGGGCAGCCAGGGCACACACAGCTGGCCCAGCCATCCCTGTGGGCAGGACACGCTGTCCTGGGCCTGCCCGGGACACCCCCCGGTGTGCGGGGGCATGAGGTGGTGTCCGGGTGTTCCTGGATCGGTGTGTTACATCTACGTGGCACATGGCTCTGCCATGCCATGTGGAGTCCCCCTGCCCCCAGGGTGGCGGGGCGGGGGGTGGTGCTGGGTCTCACGCTGCCTGCCTGGCCCTTCCTGGAAGCCTCACCCACGTGGCCATACTTCAGATGGTTCTCTGAATGTGCCCTTCACCGTGGAGGACCTCTTCCCCACCGGCCTTCGCCACATGGGCTCTGTCCAGTGTTTCTGCTGGGTTCTGTCCCAACACCCACCTGCTGGACAGAGCTCCAAGCGGGGTATCTTGCTTGTCCAGTCCACAGCTGGACATACGTGCTTGCACAGCGTCTGGCACATAGTAGGTATCAGAGAAAGAAGAATAAAGAATCCCAAAGGTGCTGAGTTCAAGCCATACTTTCAGCACACACAAGAAAGAAAAGAAAGAAAGGAAGGAAGGAAGGAAGGAAGGAAGGAAGGAAGGAAGGAAGAAGGACGGAAGGAAGGAAGGAGGGAAAGAAAGAAGGAAAGAAAATTTTCTGGGCACCAGTGGTTCACACCTGTCATCCTAGCTACTCAGGAGGCGGAGATCTGAGGATCCAGCTTTGAGGCCAGCCAGCACAGTGAGACTGTTATCTCCAATTAACCAGCCAAAAGCCAAAACTGGAGGTATGGGTCAAATGGTAGAGCTCTAGCCTTGTGTGAAAAGGCTAAAGGACAGTGCCCAGGTCCTAAGTTCAAGCCACAGTACTGTCACAAAGAAAGGAAGGAAGGAAGGAAAGAAGGAAGGAAGGAAGGAAGGGGAAAGAAAAAACTCAAACAGCCAACTGAGCACTGCAGGCATGGGCCGCCCAGCCGTGCAGGCTGACAGCTGGACACACAGCCATCTTTCTAGCGCAGTGGCTGGCCAGCCCCTCTTCCTGGGAGCTAAGCCCGTGTCTGGTCAGCATCTGTCACCAAAATGTCATAGCAGCTAGGTGCCAGTGGCTCACACTTGAATTCCTAGCTACTTCGAAGGCTGAAATCTTGAGGGTCGTGGTTCAAAGCCAGCCCGGCCAGGAAAGACCATGAGAATTCTGATCTCCAATGAACCACCAGAAAACCAGAAGTGGCGCTGTGGCTCAAGTGGTAGAGCACTAGCCTTGAATGCAAAAACTCAGCGTCAGCGCCCAGGCCCTGAGTTCAAACCCTTCACAACTGACAAAAAATAAAATAAAACCAAAGCACAAGCGTGTTTTCCAGCCCGGGGGGGGGGTGGTTCAGGGTCACTGGTTGCATCCCCTCCCCCTCCTCCCCCACTCCCCGCCGTTCCCAGCTGCTGCAGTCTGCGCCCAGCTCTACTCTGGGGGTGATTTGACACTGCAGACATCATCTGATTGTCATCACTGGGCTGAGGACTTGCCATTCTCTGGATGGAAGCCGGGAGACTCTCCACAAGCCTATAGTGATGGGGGGGGGGGCGCAGAGAATGATCTGGCCCTGATCTCAGGCTGTGAAACTGTTGGAGGGGAGAGTGATGGAGAAGAACTCCTCCTTTGTTCTTTCTTCTCTGCCTCTAGTAACATGGCCAGGACTAAGCCCCGAGCAGAAAGACCGCGTTCTGTTTAGTACGCTACTGTTCCATTTCCAGCTGCTACTTAAGCACATCGCTCAAAGTTGTTCCGTGGCCCCCAGCTCTAGGTCCTGGCACTTTGCCACCTTTTTTCACTCATCTGGCATTGTGCCACGGTTCAGTTTGGTCCAAACCTTGCTGCTCTGTTTGCATAACCCCAGTGTTGTCAGTGGCGGGTGCTCCCAAATTTGCGTCACTCCCTGGGTGACAAACAGCCTCTCTGTGTGCGCTGATATGTAAAACCGGACACCTCGTCCACGGTCAGGACCCAGAACACAGGAGCCTGGGCCTGGGGTCAGCCGGTGTCTGAGAAAACACTGGAGGAGAGGAGGTGGCCGGGCAGATTTCCCTGGGGGAATTCTGCCCACATTCCATCACTGGAAATCAAAAAGTTTGCTACACGATGAGATCTCAGACCATAAGGTCCACCGAGAGTCCTCATTGGCTTGTTTGTGTATTTATTGTTGATACTGGGGTTTGAACTCGGGGCTTTGTGCTTGGCAGGTGGGCAGGCACTCTGCATCTTGAGCCATGTCCCTAGCTGGTTTTGCTCTAGTCTGCTCATGTTTTTACAGGTTTGGACTGTGATCCACCTATTTATACTTCCCATGGTGGCTAGAATGACAGGAATATGCCCTCATGCCCCATTTCTTCAGTTGAGATGGGGTCTCAACTGGGAGCTGAGCAAAATTGGCCTGAACTTCC